ACTTGGAAGGCGCTGAACAGACTGTGCTCTGGCACCTTGAGTTGCAGAGCCAATCTTAAGAAATGGGGCCACAAATCCATGACATGCGAGTGTGGAGAAGAGCAAATCACTGACCATCTACTGCAATGCAACCTGAACCCTACCACATGCACAGTGGAGGACCTTTTTGCAGCAACACCAGAGGCACTCCAAGTGGTCAGATACTGGTCAAATGACATTTAATCAATTGCCAAGCTTGCAAACTTTGTGTTTTGTCTGTTTGTTTGTTTTGTTAAAAATGTAATACAATCTGTCTGGTTGCTCCTGACACGATAAATAAATAAATCTAACATGTCTGAGAATTTAGGCCAATCTGCCTTTCTGAAGTGGAATCTTCGTTTAAATCGAACTTCTTGAGGCCTTATCATTGGGAACAGTTGGCATACCATTGGTCGGTGCTGTGTGTTTGGAATTGGTGGTCCCACTGATTTAGTGCATTGCTGTACAATGCTGTCGCTCACAAATAAGAGGTCTGGGTTATAACCTCGGTGCCATCTCCCGCTGTTGTAGGATGGTGGGGGCTTGCTATCATGAATGAGTGATAGTTTGTGCAGTTCAGACAAGGAGAGGACAGCCTCTCCATTTTTGTCCTCATAATAATCATGATCATGATCATCATCATCATCATAATCAACATCATCATCATCTTTTTTAAAAAAAGATGAGTAGATAGGTAGGCATTCCGTTGCAAAATGTGTACTTTCAGTGTCATTTGCAGTTTTCTTTCTGGCAATACTTCTACATTTGCATACTGTTGCGTGGGACTGAAAAATCAGCCCTTCAATATCTTCCCAGGTAGGACCCGAAGCTAAGATGAGCCTGAAACTGAGCTGGAAGACAAACAGACAACAAAGAAGAGCTTTAGTCAATTGCAATACCAAGTCCGGGACTAGTTCCAATCCAACTTATTCACAGCACAGGTTTAGAAAAGAAGCCCTAAACTCCAAAATGTGACATATTCCTGGGCTGGAGAATGCTCCTGTGTTCATAGGGTCGTTTCCTCATAGGTTTCTTTTTAGGACTGTGGCTGTCACTCTGAGACATGTTTATGTGATCAGCTTTCCTCACCTTGCTCTCTCTCTTCCAGAGGCTGGAATGATGTTGTGGCCAAATCTCCAGTCATTTCTTCCGCTTCGTGGTGGAGTGGAAGTGAATCAGGTAAGCAGAAGGATTCCTGGGAGGGG